TACATTTATCATGTCGAGTTCACACGATATCAGGGATTGGCTGAGGGCTCTCGACCAATCAGAATTGAGGTACTTAGTAAAATGTATAATAATAAGGTACAATAATCTTTCACAAAACAGGTATTCTGTGAGATAAATATAAAACTCATCGTTCTTCAACTTTGTTTATCCCAAGGTGACRAAATTTTAAGATATCATTAGGACCAGAAATTCTTCAAAGGCGGTGATTGGTGCAGATAATCTCAGGACGACTACAAATTATACTCAGATTAATTATATGGCTACAGATGAATGCCAGTAAAGCCTTTCTGCTTAATGAAAATTTTTGCCGTTTTAATCAATTTTTTTCTGTAGTACTTAAAATCTAGATAATAACCGAACATCGATCAATAGCACTTTTAAGAGTCATCTGTGGCGTGTAATCATTTCTCAAGAGTTTAACACGAGCAGTTTTGTGATCTTCTAGTTTTTCAGTTCCCAACTAATGAGCTTTAAAATTCAATTAAAGGTCTCCAAAACTCGCAGGAGAAAAAAATAATTACTATAGCCTGAAAATCCGTGTTAAACTTAGTAAGATGTTGAAGTTTAGCAACATAAGAACATTTCAAATATCGAGCTTTCGTATGAAAACATTAGATGGTAAACAAAAGTTACATGCGGAAGGGTTCTTGCAAAATTCAATTTTTTTTTTCATAATTCACGTCTTCGCGAGTTTTGAACTCTTCCTCTTCCGACTCCATCGTCTTAGTAATTTTAACATGCTCTTTCCAGCTGTGATAATTATTTTTCTCTTATTAATTTAAAAGTACTTGATATAAACTTGAAAAGCAAGTAAGATGGACAGTAATTAATTTAAGACTTTTTTTAGACTATTTAATTTTGCACAAGAATTAACAAGTTTACTTTATGATTTACGGAAAATAACAAAGAGAAAGAAAAAAACAAATACGATGATTACATTAATTAATTGAGTGTGGAATGGTGGTGAAAATACTTCCGTATTATATACACTCTAGAATATGATTTGATTCTGTTTGGACAAGAGGAGTAAATAATTGATAAATTAAACGAAACTTACCTGTAAGTTGAAGTTTGATAGAGATTCTACCGTAGCATTTGCAGAAATGAGG